TAGTCTCAGCGCGTAAAATGGATGTTATATTCGTTAACAGGACCTCAAATAACCCCTAAACGCAAGTTTTCAGCAAATTTGGTGAAAACACCCTTGGCGCCAAGTGGCGCCAGCGCCAAAAGTGAAGGTCATATTCGTTATCAGGGCATCGGATTACCTCTATAGGCGAAGTTTCAACGAAAATTAAAATTTTGAGTTTTTGGGGTTGTAATAGTGGAATAGTACCCAACTTTCTACCCATCAATCGGGGGAATATGTAAACTACCTTTCTTCCGTTACTCACGATCTCCTGTGCTGTGCATACATAGTCCTGCATTGTAATGGATGACCCGCGAGAATTATTTTTCATCCTAGCTCTTGGTTACTGGAGTCCATAGAATCATTATTATATTGGACTGGATATTGGACCGAAACAGCAAAGACCGTCAGGGCTGAGGTCGATTCAGATCTTTTCAATCGCGAAACTCAAGGCCCGGTGAGCGCATTTATAGTACCTGTGTTCTAACGCCGACTTGGGCGTCAGGAAGCAGGTTTTATGAAGGCACCCAGTTAGAGGAATGTTCCGTGCTCATTTCGCCGCTCTGCAAGATCGAGTATCGTGGAACTATATTCTTACCATAATCTCTTTTTTGATTTACATCATTTGGGTCATCATTACTATGGATCTATTACTGTTAGCTTACCGGTTGAATACATAAGAATGGGTCCACCCGCGGGCTGCACGGCGGTTTAGTGGCGCTCTACATTTAATCGTTCATTTCAGGAACTGGTCAGGAACTTATGAGCTTCACTTAGCGCGGTCGTATTGGTGAAACCATTTTCTTCGACGCAATGTTTCACCACGATTACCGTGGTAATTTGAAGCTGATACGACTGGCACAATTACTAGGGGCTAACCGTATACTACTGGAGATTTTCGAAGGATCAGGCTTACTAAGCGGTAGACGTGGAGAAGAGTAGTTGGCTAACAAGTATTCGATGTAGGGTTTGGTTCCGGGCCAAGCATACGATAGCGCTGCTGTTACACGGCCCCGAATCAAACCAGGAAAACATCTGACAGCGTTTAGTGACATATACATAGCAAAATAATTATTTATTACTTCGTATACTTCGCATAATAATAATTGTTCGCATTGACGGATCAATATTCCAATCGATATGTTTTACTACCAGAATTTCCAGAAGGGTCTCTCGGCCTCATTGTAATCCTCCATTTGTGTTTCGATAGCGGCGGTAATTTCTTGAAACGTGGGACGATCAGCACCGCTTTGCTTCCAGCACAACTGTAGTAGTGTTATTGTTAAAATGGGATCAGTAAAGAAGTCGAGGTAGATCTTAACAGCTGGTAATAACTAGTAACAGGTAATGAGCGTCATAAAAAAAAGTTGTTTTGATGATATACCTGAGTAAGAGACCACAGGTAATCAGGATATTTATCCGACTCATTGTTCAGTCTGTTTCCAGCAAGGACAAATTTTCTGATAGCGGCCGTGTTAGGGAATTCATCATAGGGTGTCATACCATCATGGAATACCTGAATCGGGAGTTTTGGCGATTGCAAATCGGTATTAAATTTGTATCGTAAGAAGGCTTATATTCTATGTTTTGTAGAGTAAAGCGCCTTTAGGTGCATCCCAAGACGCGCCTTCCTTTGGATAAGCGGGAAACTGGCATATTTCGGGGAGGGTCCTCACAGATTTCCTTGTGTCGTCGCCTACCTGGCGACGTAGTTTAAACGAAGCGATCGCGGTGGCACGTCCTGACCTACACCACAGTTTCACACCTGAAGCTTTTTGGTTTTCAATATGTTGTCGAAGAGTCATCCCTTAGAATTATTTAGGGCAGGAGGATCGATCAAACTAATGGCAACTAACGGCATATTAATGAGCAAAGAGAAAGCTCTATTTTTGTATTGTATTGTATTCGTTTGAGTAAGAGGTGAAACGAATCATGTATTGTTTCCTTTGTTCTTTTTCTTTGTCCTTTCCTCTCTATCTTCAAAGATACTAACTCTAATTAGAACTTTTCCATTAGTTTGTGCGAGATACCGAGTAAACCCTTCAAGTTTTTGAGTTGCAAACGCTTAACTTACCTCCCACATGAATATGCCAAATGTCCAAACATCGGTTTTAGTTGAATAACTTCGTGTTTGTAAAGTTTCCGGAGCCAGATATCGTACTGGCACCTAGACCAATGAGTTTACTAAATTTACTCGAACATATGGAAGCCAGGTTCTGAGTGCTATGGAAAGGGGTGATTGAAGATTTTGTTTGATTTTATATTAGACTGATGAGTTTTCTATATCGCGTGCTTGCTTCACCACCAACTCCGTTCTTTCCTTTCTCTTCCCTTGGTTGGATTTATTCTGGTTCTCAACGAGACTTTGCTTAGTCATAGATAGGGAGAGGCTTAGGTATAGAAACGGTCGCATTCAGAATAAGTATCTTCTTGGTTGTCGTAACTAGGTCTTATATGGAGTCTGTGAGTACCTTTTTGAGAGTCTTTTCCTTCTTCTGAACTCCCAACACGCTCAAACCAAAATCTGAGATTTTCGCTGTGTTACCTTTACCAATTAATGTATTTCTTGCAGCAATATCACGATGTATAATCTGGAAGTGAGCTGTGGTGATTCGGTGAACGTAGTTGCAAAGTTGAAAATAGAAGTAAAAAAGTTATTCCACTCTGTAAACGTGGGTCCGGAATGGATCTAGTCCTTCAATCTTCAGAGGCTCAGAGCTGGTACCACGGTTAGTCTCAAAAGCAGCAACACCTGATAGTTGTAGTAGGAGTAGAAAAGAGCGATATTAGTGTTCCAAAAGGCGCTGCCACCATTTACACCTTCTAGAAGGCGAACCACAGTTTCTGCACTACTCAGTATTAGGTGTCTGAGCAGATGGAAATCAGAAATACGCGTCGCTAGGGGGAACGAGACGCACTTTCAACTGGTTTAGTAAATCCAAATGGAAGGTGAAGGTATGGCACACCTCACACCGCCTTATCGATGGTGTGCACAAACTTCACGTAATTTTTTATGACAGCAAGAAACAAACTCCTTTTCCGGAGAGGTATGTCAACCCTTGTGCGGCTCCATGGCAGTATTTTATCCGGATGTACGTTGTTGGACCTGGCTTCGCTTGCACGGCGTCGAGTACGGCTCCTCCTGTATCACACAATCTTCAGTGAAAATTTTGAGTTGGTTATCTTCCCCATATTTTATGACTGCTGGCCCTTGGTGCATTACCATCGGTTCTCGTTCCTTGATAAAGCGTCCACATGTGACGAGAGAAGATGAGTATAACTCGGTGAACCTTCTTGGAACTGTGGCCATGGATACGACCGCACAGAGGTTCATTCCCGAGGTCCTATCCTACCTGTAGCCAAGGTCTGAGGAGTTACAACCCTTCCCTTATTGCACAAAATATCGCCAGAGATTCACCAGGAGCTAGTTCCATAACGATCATGACGGGTTCTTCATTCGAGGCGACTCCAATCAGCTGAATGACGTTTTGGTGGATCAGCGTTTTCATCAACATTGCCTCCTTAAATTATGAATATTACCGTAGAAGTGAAATTGAACTCCCATGATTGTGCCCCTAACTTCATCCCGTGGGTTAAGAGATCTTCCCTATTTGAATGAGCAGTCAGTATAAGGAAAATATCGCGGTACTTTAGTGAAATTTCTTTCGAAAGAGCACCTGGAAAAGTTTCTCATTTTCTTCAGCTGAGATCGATCCATTAATTGTTTTGATGGCAACTTCCCGTTTGTCAATTAGTCCACTTCTCAAGACACCTTTATAGACATCTCCGAACGCTCCGGAACCTAGCCTTTTTGTCCTCAACGACTCTATTAAACATAGGACTGAGAGTGAAGACCAATAGTTGAAATGCCTACTTGATAATCTGTTCGTGGTTCAATTGCCAGTCAGCTTTTTTAATAGCCCTTTTTATGATAGTTTTCTCTTCATCGATTGGAATTTTGTGTCGTTTGTGGTATTCGATCAGACCTTAGACGAAGAGATGAAAATTTCCATGAGAAAGGGCGTAATCAGGAAAAAATGGGAATCTTGATAGGTTCCCAAGTTGATCACGGTTGGCGAAGCTCTCACTCTCTGTGAGTTTGCTCCTGTAGGCTGGGTGCTCTACTGCGTCTTATTCGTGTCAGTAAATCTGCCTCTCACAGTCAGGTTTAATTTTTTGGCCTAATATATTCCCTTCCAGTCCAACGCAGCTCCTCTTAAAACTTTCAAACCTGTCAGGAAGAGAGAGGGGAAGGGACGTACTACATCCATTCTCGAGGTCCACACAATTCGATACGGGAGGTTTCAAGGGTAGCATTTTATGGGAGTAATCGCGAAGTGTTGACTTACTCTTACTGACCTGATACTAACTTAAAGCCATAGAGCCGTACATAGTAGAGTTTAGCTCTTCTACTATATTTGATGAAAACATGACGCATTTCCTCTTCAGCGCGTCTTTTCTCAGCCTGTAAGTATCCATTGACGATTTGGTTAGTGGAGATGGTGATAGTCCTGATGTTGAAAATGACAGCTCAAAGGCTGTTTGCCCGAGACCAAGGTTTGCTATTGAATAACGTACCGCTATTTCTTCATCAGTTTTTGTTGTTAATACGACTCCACTGCCTTTCTGCAAATCAGAAGCTCAACAGTGATTTTCAGTGGGGCATAAAATCGCAAATTGCAGGATAGTAAACTCACACTAATATCTTCTGCAGGAGGTTTTACCCTGACAGAAATGATGTATTGCTCCTACAAAAAGCTGTTAAGATTGGCACAAGCTGACACAAACGTGATCGGAGTAATCGGACATTGTTTCAAACGTGCCAGAAGCAAAGACAGATATTTTTCGATAAAATGCATTAGGATGAATGGGAATTAGGGGAGCTGGGAACACATCACGGGAAAGATCAAGCTCTCCCAGCAAAGCTCTTCATTCCTGGGTAATTGAAAGGGATAAAAACGCCATTTGCTGTTCTTAGGTATTAATGGCTTAAGTCGAAAACTTCTTTAAAACCACTATCATTTTTGGTGAACTCATGTACATGGCTGTTTTCCAACGCTCAACATCTCCAGCTTCACGCTTCAGATAACCCTTCCAGCTCACCTTCTTATTAGCATATAAGATTTGATGCCAGTCTGAAAATTGGGGAACATCCCTTCAGATAAATGCAGTGGGTACCTCCGCACTGGGCGGGCTGGGAGTTGAACGCTGAGGACGATAAATGATGAGAAACGCGGGTCGCATTAGTCAGTTGTAACCCCTTGGGATGGAGAAAGGACCAAGTTCGTCATCCCACTTCATTCCCTCACCAGCTTCCTCATACTTTTGATTGATATGAGAATTTTGAGTGAGAAATTCAGGGAATATGGAAGTATTACCAACCAATGATTAGTAAATTTCATTTGCATGGCCCATTCTGCTGTGGGCTGCTCTGCTACTATGATCGTCCGGATCTCCCTGGTGTAACTTTACCTACTAAAACTTTGCAACAGAATTGATCATTGGATTTTCTAGTCTGACTCATGTTGATCTCAAGTTGTGAGTCACCCCAACACACACCTTCATTGAGTTGTCCCGAATTGGATGTGATTGCTCGCGACAAACTTCGATTCGGGAAAGAAATAATTTCTTTTCAATCTATCATTCCCGACCATCGAAGAACTGTACGATTCATCGCCTACCAACTAAGGATCTGATGTTAACTGGTTAGCGCTAGACTTTTGCGTTTCTACTTCCTGTACTGCATAGTCAAGTGCTCGCGTAGCTGTCAGTACCATCGGTTCACTCTCATCTGTTCGAGAAATTTCTCACAAAATCCAAACTTTGTTGTATTTTTCTTGGTTAAGCGCTCTGAACCTCTCGACAGGCGTTATTGAGGCCTGCGATAGAAACAGTCAAGTGCTTACTGTAGCTGTCGACCTGCTCTCAGCTCGTACTGCTTGTCGTACGAGAAAGTCACCAACTCGTAGTAACAACCGATCGGTCTGTAAAGTGCAATTATCACAGTTTGCACATATTTGTCGTTATAAGCAGATGTGCAAGCAAGAAAGGCAATTAAATATACAACTTATCACATCAAGATGCCGACAAACCCTGATGTCTGCATCTTGCCACCCAAGAAGCCGCATTTTTGGAAAACAGGATCATTACAGCTTCCGATTCACGCAAGTAGTGTTAGGGATTCGAAATTTTGACGTCAACATGGAAAACCAGGTACTGTGTTTTCAAGAACGCAAAGATAAGGTGGTTAGCCATATGCCATTTCGAGATGACTGTAGAGCCAGAGCGATAACCAGAAAACCTATGGAGCTCTTCAGCTACAAAACAAGGATAAGCTTTTTGTCAGAACTTCCAGTGAAACCTCTGGAGTGAAGATATGAGCCGATCGGGGACTATGGGAAAATATTTGGACTACTCTGTCTCGCGGCAGGATTGGCTGAAAATGTCGCTGGAGCTTACTCACGGCAGTTGGAAGAACGATGTTTCAAGAAGTGAACGAGCCTTATGTGGCTGTGATTTCAAAGGGTTCAGAACCGAATCCAAAGGGTTTCTGTTACCCTTCAGCTCATTCGATCTGGTTCTTTCTCAAGAGACTGATTGCTGCAACTCCTCCAGGCAAGAAAAGTTTTTGAAAAGCAATACTACTCAAATCATCACTAGTCATTGCAGTGCACAACGTTTACAGGAAAAAGCCCTTGATAAGTAGTACATTCACGCCCCATCTTATCTCCATCTAATACATTGTGACAAGTGCTTCAGTTGTTCTCGTTGTGTCGCACTCGTTTAACTTCTTATACGAGCCTACGATTCGTTCCCAAAAAGAGCACTAGGTGAACACGTCAGCGTAGGTCTCATTATTCCTTTTTCGTCCCCAGATAGTTTTTCGCCAACACACCCATCGCCATCAGGGCTGATTCAGACATTTATTGATACAACTTTGTGCACGTAATATGTATGGGAGGTTTTCACCATGTCTACTCAAACCAGCAAAACGGGCGTGACTTGCGAGAGGGTGGGGCCTGCAGGAATACATTTATGTTTTACATATTCTCTTCTTCCTATCTCATAGACAGCCCTTCTACGTAGAGTAATTGTGAGCTGTTGAGTACAGCCAACTTCATACTGCGATAATTCTGTCCTGCGAATGGATCAGAATGGGATGACAAGGAAGTTTCACTTAGCGAGTGGCCACTTGGGTTTCATGGGCAGTGTAGTTTGGGCAAATTAGTTTTAATAGTGCTTTTCTGCTATAACCTTTAGTCATGAAACAAGTTTGTAGGCAGTGATACTTAGGGAGAAGCAACAGTTGATTAGGATTAGCAGGGAGTTTAAATGATAAGCTTCCAACGTAGCTTCAACCGCGTCTGCTTGCAGCATACTGCGATACGCTGATAAAGGTCTATACGCACGATGCAGAGACGGTCATGCCCACCTCACCAGTGCGACTCCGATTGACAGGTAGGTGTTCAGCCCAGTCTGACTGCTTGAAAGTAAGTTGGTGAAAACTTACTTTTGAGCGGTCAGACTGGGCTGAACACCTACCTGGCAATCTCCAAGAGGAGTCATTCAACATTGGACATCTTTCTGCATGGTTGAGTAAGGTTTTGGTTAGGTCTTCCAATCTGTCGTAAGTATATCTCCTAACTGGGCTTCCCTGTTCACTTTACTATCTTGTCTTCCCTAGTATTGCGTTCAAGTCATTTGGAACAGTAGGGTTTGCCCTTCATTTATCAAAGTGGTCAGTCTATAAAGAAGCTCCTGAGCGGAGTGTACGCACTTGGCCGGCTCCCAGGTGCTGTGCAACGACTTAGGAATCAAAGCATGTACTGCACTCCTCACAGCTGAAACTTATACGAAGGTAAGTTCACCTGTTCCCTAGGCATGAAACCATGAAAAAAGTCTTCGTTCTTCACACTCGGTAACCCTCCGGCTTCAGAATCACGAATTTTGGTGATCTGTATCTTCTTCTCAGGATACATACGTGTATCCCGTCCCTTTGTAACTGCGGCTGTTTTCGATCCCCCCTGAAATCAATACGAAGTAAAGATTAGACAAGAAGCTCTCGTACTAGACTGAACGAAACGAACCCGTTCGAGTGACATCTCTGCCGCTTCGTGTTTAATGAGTTATACATCTGAACCACCCTTCGCACCTTAGTTCGAGTAGTATGTTTGTCATGATAATCGTTATTGATCTGGGCTCACCGCCTTATACATCCTCTTTATTCCTTCCTCCATGACAGCTCGGTGCAGTGCTAATCTTTACCTTCTCATCTGTTTCAATGTTGCCGTTACACGTTGATTGGAAGGCTCTATGGTGCAATACTTGGTACCTATAGAAACCAATCCACAGTAACTCATAAGAAATTCCAGCTCATCTGCAAACCGCCTAGATTCCCCTGCCCTGGTCTTTCCTCGAGAACTTCGTCTAGGACAACGCTTCATGTGAGTAGTGCAGGATGAGTTTATCGGGGCAAATCAATAAAGGGAAACTTAGGTCAGAAAAAAAGATTAACCAACCCTTTTATTCTACAATGTGTTAAACATGAAGTATTCAACAAACGAATCATAAATAAAGCGAATCATCGCACAAGTCCATCATTTCGACCCATATACAAAGACGAGTACCACCGTCACACAATGTGCTCAACTACAATATTAACAGAAAAAGTTTTCCTCTGGGATCGTACATACCAGAGAGGGTACGATTAGCTAAGAAGATACATTAGGTAATTCACCGATCTTTAGCTGACATCGAGTTCAGGCAGCTACCTCAGAAAGAACATGTGTGATGTGGCCTGCTTCACCAGCCAGACATCTTAAGCATACCTTTTGCGACTGCCGAAGTTTCTTTTCTGAAATTCAGAAATCGCTCTAATCAATCTCCAAAATTCCTCCGAAAATCAAAATTCAAGCTCACTGCTTCAAGAAACTCCACGGTCAAAAAAATCTAAACTTGTAAAATAAAAAAAAATCGGGAGTGACGTTCAGGTGACAAATCTCGCTAGTATAAGTTCTCACAGAATACGATCGTAGAGCAGTGAAAGAAAAATCGCTCTGCCCAAAAATATCCGGACTTATTTTATTCCATGTCGTCCACTCACATTCTGTGGTTATCAGTGACGACCTACTTGCAGCCAAACGGACATTTCCCATTCCGACATCTGTTCGAGTACAACAACTGTCACCTTCTACCACAGAACCAACCCTGCCTACTTCAAGACTTTTATTAGTGGTTGTAGCGTAGATTTGTCGCCTTCCGAATATCTAATGCGGCTACATCAAAAGCTATTACATGGAGCAATACACTCGAGTCAAGAGGATGAGAGATACAAAAAGAAAAGAGGGGAAACAGCAAAATTACTTATTATCGGCAAAATGCGAAAGATATTCGAAAAGGTATGCGAAACAGAAAAGAATCTCGAAAAAAAAGTAAACAAAACAGAAGAAGACACACCTATTGGTTTATACTCTGAATTCTCTTTCTGCGTAACCTCACTGGAAATATCTTGTATCAGAGGTCTCTTGCGCGATTTTATTTTCTGTACGTCCTCGAACATCTACAATGATTCACTTCATATGTAAAATGAGCCATTTTTTGCTCTACTGATTCACTTCATGAATCAGTAAGGAAGAAAGTAATTATAGCACGTCCAGGGTAGAAAAAAAAATGGGCAGTGTATGGTGGTGACATATAAGGCGTTGTTACACCCGAACCAGCTTTCCTTTCCCAAGCTGGAAGCAAGGGAGAAGCCAGTATGATTTCTTATTTCAACGCCTTGTATGTACAGCGAATTGCTTCCCGAACGGGAACATCTGCTTTCAAAAAAGGAGATTTCAGAAAGGTATGAAATGAAGGTTGATGTAATACGATTAGTGGTACCCTTGGTTATATAGGGAAGCAGAAGAGATGTTTATATCGTGATCTTGAAATAGCGTCGGGTACCGTATTCAGAGGAACCATGCCCATGTCGTTGACTTGACATTCTGATAAACAGACTATGACAGAGACCTAACCATTGTCAATGAGAACGTACTACAAACACAATAGTAGTTCACGATACGGGAACAAAGACGATAACAGATGACGTGATAAGAAAGCGTTTGGCAATTATCCAATCGTAATTGACAGATCGAAAACATACTGATAATAATTTATTCGTATCACTGTATAATAATCTAGCAAATGTATTATCCCAGTCGCAGCTGAGCTATATGTTTGTAAGGCATTAACATCAACAAATCGAATCTGTAAAGAGCTATACACATTTACGTGAGATTCAATTGGGTACAAGTGAAAACGTATAAGACTGTAAGCACGACCACAGTATTGAGAAACCAGTTGTGCTTATAAGGCAAAGAGTCATTACAGTATGAATCACAAGACAAACACCAACGAACTATCACAAAAGGCATCAAACGGAAATGATCCACTTCTGATTTGAGGGCTCGGTAGTGCAATCTTTACGAAATGATAAGATCGATCACAATATATCAGACGCCAAATGCAAAGTACAAATAAAGTACGAGGTTTTTAAATATAAGAACATCAAGCTATAAAGCCTCCTCATGAACTTCAGCTGACAACAAGAACAGAAACGGTTCAATTACGTTTCAAGTATTCACAAAACCTAAACCGAACGATCCTCGCCAACCATGTGGCACGAGCGGTCAACTGCAAGCAGATATGACAGGCTTTGTTTCCATGCGAACAAGCGTCAGACCACTTCTCACCTTTGTTCTGCACAATACCAACCATTCATAAGTCTTTGCACTCAACCAAACTGCTGAAAGGGCTACTAGTATTAACTAGTTAACCCACTCTTTCATATTCTATTTATGAAAACCATATTCGCCTGATGTTGACTAAGCGGAATGTGGAAGTTTAGTTCTCAACGGACTTGACGAAGACGTCGTTTTTGGAAAACAAATTGCTTCTCGCGATGCTCTCTTCACGCACAACAGAATGAGCATTTCTGAATGCTTCAACTACGAGTGCTCGAGTCAATATAGTGAACGGCTCAAGCTGAAGCTTAGATAAAAACAGACAAAGTCAACGGCTTCGCATTCCCTCGAAACACCCTTCGTAGACCCGCCAGACGATTTGATGAGGACCGCTAAACGAGATTAAGCGCCGACTGGATCCTTTTCGTTCATCAATATAACCATGAGCGATCTCCTACCATAGGATTGCCTTCAGCCAGATGGGCGAATTTCTTGGTGGAAACTTTAAAAGGAGTAAGAACGATTTTATGGCTGTTGTGCGGAAAGACTGTTGGTTGTACAGATCCTAATGAAGGCCTCGGTCGTTGGAAAAGTAGAAAGTTACGGGTGGTATAAGTACACCACTTGAACATCAACGATTGAAACTGTCAATCATGAGTTGAAGAAAAAAGGCAAAGAACGAAATCCAAAATCGGACAAAAAATCACTGACAACCGATTCTCTCACGACTTGTAGTATGTCGTAAAGATGGATGAATGTGAAAGAAGCATTGTTATATAATACAGGCTATTACTTTCCAAGTAGCAAACCTCTATAGTTCGCTGTGCTGTATTTTTGAATCCAAATACTTCTCCAGCTTTCTCAACTTCCTCTCCATTTTTTCATGCTTTGCTTCTAGTTCTAGGTCTTCCACAGCATGTAGAGTCATTTTTCCTTGTTTCTTTCGTTCTTCACGGCGGGCGTCCAACTCTTTCTGCAACAAAGGAATGCGTTTGTTGCTAATAATTTGTTGCGAGTTTTGTCACAGCTCCCATGTTAAAAATAGTGTCGTAAAATTTGCATGAGCAATTGAACACGAAGTTGAAAAATAGTTAAACACAGGGGGCATAGAAATATCTTATAAAAGGGTATACAAGAAATAGACTTTGATGAGCTGACCTTATGGAAAGCGATCTTCTTAAGTTGCGTATCGAAATGGAGCAATTCGTCTTTCATAATATCCAAATCTTTTTGAGAGAAATTTCCATTCATTTGGGCCTGAAAAGGTCATAATAGGCAGCCAGTTTTTCCGAACAAAGGCAAACAGCAGGCGGTTCATTAAAGGGCAACAGATAAAAACTACCAGCTAGCTGTCATCAAAGCTCGTTTACTCTGAGGGAACGAATGTACTAGGCTCTTTCCTGAGCACAAATAAACTCGGAGAGATGTTTTAAAACAATACAGTTGAAAAAAGTGAAAAGCCTTGAGATCTCCGGGTTGTTAGTGCCACTGATCAGTAAGTGGAGGTGCTTTCTAAAGATTTCCTACATGATGCTCAACACGTACAGGAATAACTTACAGACTTCCATAATCGCCTGACGCGATCATTTTCAAAGGGGCTCTTGGTGTTTTCATGTATCTTCTGGTGAAGTTGATCAATGTGCTCAGACATATCGCGATGGACCTTCTTCAGTTGTGCTTTCTGTGTCGCATAAGATACAGTTTGACTACCAACAGATCATGATCTTAATGACTAAATTCGGAACTTACTTTGACATCTAAAGAGTGGTGGTCGTCGAAATGAATTGAGTTCTCCATGGGAACCTGAAAAGTGCTAGATGGGTATAAAACTTCACTCTACTACAGAAAGATACCTTATTCATTTGTTGGAGTGTATCATCATACAATCTCGTTTTTCTTTCAGCATCTTTGAGTTCGCTATGAAGTGCTAGAATAAGTTAGAATACTCATGCTCCAATCGAAACGAATACTTATAGAAAGACGCAAACAGTTCAGCGATAAGAAGAGCCGACGAACCTATCAACTCAATATCCGAAAACTTTCCATTCTTAGCCGTCTCCCATAACTGCTGTAATCGCTCGTCATCAAAAGCTGCCAAATCTGTCACTTTCGGATGGTCCGTACTTTCAATGAATTCATTTTTGTGCTTCATTTTCTAAATTATTGTAAAACTAAACGAGCACACTGCAACGTCTCACAGACAAACTACAGAAAGCGAACAGTAAAGGAAACTTTTCAAATTGTAAAGTAAGCCTTGGTTACTGCTCAGGATAGAGGGGTATGCAATACGAGTTCACTAATTACTTATGAAAGAACTAATACTAGCGCTGGCTCAAACCAGTCTGCAGCCCCTTTTATGAGGTTGCCCCTATATTTAAAAATCTTCAGAAATTTCAAGCACAAGTCCAGAAAATAGTGTATTTGACTGTAACTTCATTCGATGTAGCCAAGACCTACGATATAGCTTCAAACACGTGCAATATGGATCATGAAAGAGGACTAGCAACACCTACAACACAATACGTTTCACGTCACACTTAAATTACCAAGGATCTCAATGCAACTCTTATTGGGTCCAACCGCCGAGAAGCGAGGGCCTGAATTTCCAAATGACCTTGAAATCGAATGCATATATTAGACAATCCGGTATCAGCTGAGTCACTACTATCAGCTCCTCAAGGAATTCTAACGAGACTAGGGTTGAGCTATACTGGGCGTCTGGCAATCATCCAACTTCTGAGAGGAATGCTGAACTGAAGGATTCGGTTTTGAGCGAGCAAGACCATTCACATTAAAATGACAACCGACTTCCGCTGTCGCCTGGCTCATTGAAGAGATGTTCCACATTTTCTTCAGTTCAGTTTTGAGTCGTTTGTTTGAAATACGACCACGCCATTCCCAAAGCTGCACAACAATTGCCTAATCGTCATGAGTAAAAAGACCCTCGATGGCTATCGTGATCTGATGCGACAGGTTGCAGCGAATGTGTGCGCAAGTGGTAAAAACACCGTCGGCAAACATTATTTCGGGAAACTCCTCCTCAGCTGAGCATTTCCAGATTCTCTGATTAATATGATTTTCATCGACATTCATTGAAAGCCTCTTACCTCTTTGAAAGCATATATGGCCTGTTGAAGATCGTATTTCTCTAACAAAGTGACCAGCTTCTTATCGATTTTCTCCATCTGACTATTGAATTCATCAGCACTCCTTGATTTATGTACTGCTTTTGTATCCATGTACACATTGTCATAATTGCTGAGTTCGCCCTGCAATAGTCATCCCTGTTGGTATTGATGTTTTTAATGAAAAGAGAAGGCATTTTTGAATGCAAGACAAGGTTTTTGAGATTAAACAAATCAATGATTTACTTGAAGAATACTGAACCCCACCTCTGAGCTCTGAAACAACTCTAAACGGTTCTAGACCACACACATGTTCTTCATCAGCTAAGACTATACTCACTTACTGACCTTTCCGTTGTGGACGGACCCATGACGCCCGATAAACGGAAAAAGAAATGAAGCTATTTCCAATCGCAAAATCTTTTTCACCTAAATTCTATCCGTTTTTGTCCACGCAGCGAAAATATGATATAAATTGAACATCACGGGGTGTGCCTATCTCTTGCGATTCTTTTACATGTTCATCGAAACCGAACCTATCAACACGCTGGTCGATTTTAGATCGATCGGTCGATCTTTTTGATCCACATATGGTTGTTAGAATTTGATGATCATTCGCTATCGGATATGAATTCGAATCACAAAGCGAAACATCTTAGGGGAGAGGAAATAATGGGCGATCGTTTCGCAAGAAGATATGGTACCTAGGATCGGCTAGCACCAATGCCTTTTGAATACATACGCAAATGGGGATGGTAAAAGAAACTAAAAGGCGAACAGTGCAAAGCGCAATCCCTAGAAAACCTGCACATCGCCATCGCGTACAGCTGAGTTCACCAAATTGCAGTGAGTAAGCAGCAACTACGCCTGAGTGGCTTATGTCAACTCACCCTTAACTGTCAACATTTTCTCATATAGTAGCATACCCAACTACAAGGGAGTCAACGCTTTTAGATTCCATTGCACAGCACTTCAACGTCAATAAGATTTAAAAGAAAAAACAGAACAAGCTAAATGATAGCAAGTAATGTCAAGTAAGACTGCTGTTTTTGGACACATGCGCCAGCCAAATGAGAGTGCCGTTTTTGAACCTATGCGTCACCAGCACGAAGACTTCAAAATCCAGGAACCAGTTTGGAAATGTGTATTGTGATGGGATTGAGAACTAATCTTCACCTCAAATGCGTAATAAAATAGCATATTCTTGCAGAAAGTTGGTATGCCTACAACTCCTTCGTGATACTTTTCCTAAGGGAAAGTAGTTTTCGACAGACCTCTTTCTTTCTTCTGTTGCAAACACTCTAGCTACGAAAGAGCCGCCGTAATCAGAGCCATTGAGTGCTTTGTTTTTACAAACCCTGTTTGCAGTGTTTTGAAATATTTGATTCTTCGAGTGCGGACAGTAACAGAGAGCGGTTGGATTTTACGAGAACTCCTAAGAAGGTGGAAACCGAGAAATTGTTTTAAAATCGATAGCTATTTCTTTCTTTCACTTTCACGAAACTAGAATTTCAAGATGTGGCAGTGAAAAGCGTGTTGGAAAGACGGCAAGGTCGTGTTAACGCTTAAACAATGATGACAACATGGGGTTTTTACGAACCACGCCTTGTTGAACATGTAAGAGATACTTAGGCACAAATTTACATCGCCCACACCAGTTTTCCTCATACTTGCAAATTTTGCGTCTTTTCTCCTTTTCTGTCAGTGAATCGGGTCCCATTTTGAGTTGAAACGCTGCGAAACTAGTTCAAATCAAGGTAATCTAAAAGGTCATGCAATGCTTTCAACAACAGTTCTTTAAGAAAGTTTGGAATTTCTTCCTTGAAAAGTTTTTGTTTGGAACCCATCATTTTCATCTCTACTCCAAGTCGGGCGGCGTGACCATAAGCAGCCACCATAAAAGGTCCCCATCATTGTTTCACGTTTGAGGCTGCCAAAATTACTAGGATACCCCAAGCTCTCAACAAATTGATTGAAAGCTAAATTGCAATTTTTAGCAAAATAAACTAAATATCTGAATTGACTTCATATCAAAAATTTTGTAGTCACACTTTCAGTAAAACGCCATTTCAACAACACCGAGAGGGCGGAAATACCTCGCTGTCCCACGCACAAAATAAAATATGCTATGCCGCCAAGGTATGGAAGCAGTAAATATGTTGTACTAGGCCAAAAATATGAGAGCTGTGTCGGCAGCGTGTATTTTTTGTTTTTTCAAATCAAACACCGCCTCAACGAATAAGCGTTGTTTGAGCAAACAGCCTTGGTCCTCACTTCGCTAGATTGAAAAACAATTATGAATACTTTTGGTTAAGTATACTTTGTTTTTGAACTGGTAATGTACGCTTTGGCGAAGCATTTTATTCCCTTGGTCGTTACAAGAGATTTGTGCTGAGCTGGCGATATATGTATGTTACGTGAGAAGCCTTTTGTTTCTTTTATCGCTGCGAGATTTGTTATGGATATAATGTGAAGCGTTGACATTAAAAAGAATGTCGGGAGGCGGTACTCAGATGTATCACTGAATCATTTTCTAGAACTCAAATCAGCAAATCGTACTCTTCACATTTCATTTCGACTGTCACGTCTATTTGCCTTTAAAGATTACGAGTAAAACCATTTCTAAATGGTATTTTAACTCTCAAAACGAACTTTCGAAACGAACTTATGAGAAGAGACTTTAAAAGGCCATAGAGAAGAGAATTAATGCACTAGTTCGGCCACAGCTCGGTGAATTGAGAGTGCTTGAGAGCTTGCGTGACCATCAGCAATTACTGCAACTTCAACGAAACCAAAAGTCAAAGAAGAAATTTCACCCACCTCCAGTTTCTGTAAACGTTTTCGATCGGCAATATGTTGAAGAGCCTTTTCATAAATGTAATTAATCTTTTCCGAACGAAACTTTGACGACATCAAAGGCAGAATTTCCGCGAATAAAATGCATACCTCTAACCATCTAATCAACATTCAGTTGAATATCTGAAACTGGAACGAACTTTACGAAAACCTTATGAAATTCCGAAATCAGTACAGATTCATTACACGTCACATATGCCACGAAAACGCATTTGTACTTTTCTGTTTTAATTTGGCATCTCTGGTTGTTTCTCAGAGTTGGCAGGAACTCGAAATTAAGAGGAACTTCTCAGCAAAATTGGTAGATGAGAGGAAAATTGAACTCTTCTCGAGCAGCTGCTGTATTGTCAGCATAGTCGATGAAATTGTAGTGGTCTGAACTTTTTTCAAAGTACTGCGTTGAAAGAACTGGGTTAACTATGGCCACAATGATATTTCGCACTTTTGAAACTTCGGACAGAAAACTCTTCGTTTTCTACGACTACTTCGTCCCACTAATTCTACAGCTTGAATCATGAGAAAAACCGCTTCGCATTCCCCTGAGCATCCTCATCATAAGCAGTGAATGAAAACAAACTCTTGCACAGCAGCAAAAAAACTCCGAACAGTTTCGGAATGTTTCTCGAAAACCGTATAGCAATAGCGTCTTCGAACGGCTCATAAAAATAGAAATGCAAATTTCTAAACATTCAAGTTCCTACAGTAATACTAGGCGTAAAATAAATACCGAAATAACGTCGTTTAATAGGATGAGATGTGTACTGTCCGTGATTATACTGCAACCCCTACGCGTTCTTTTACGACTAGCAAGATTTACTGGTGGAAAACTGGGAGTGTGCTTGATGTGTGCTTCTCTCCACCCCTTAGACTGTAAAAGTCTTGTTCGTCACAATTTGAAACAGTAAGCCAATGCCAATAAAAATCTCAAGACAGCTGTGGATAAAACCGCTCAATGGGTTCCCATAGTCATCCCTCGCTTAACGATCCTAAAAATCCCTTTATTACTACTGTGTAATACCAGTTAAATCCTCAGTAAAGTCGTTCCCCACCAACATCTTGATGGCTATCTTCATGTAGCGAATCGTAATGGTCGACCGATACATAGCCAAAGTTGAGGCCTATTCGGTTACCCTTCAGCCGCTTTTCAATTATTGTCTTTTCATAACAAATGGTAGTTCAAATAAAACCGCCCGTTACTTGTGATCTCAGTAAACTAGTAAAAGGAACTTTAAAACGTGGTTATCTCTGAAGAAATAGAAGATTCGAGAAGGCTAATGCGGAAATTCGCATGAAACCTTGTCAAAACCTCAAAAAAGTTTAATCCAACATCCATCAATACTTTATTCATTGCGAAATTCGGTCCGGCTTAAAAAGATTCCGACTTGGAACTCTTTTTGTTTCATCCGATTAGTTCTTCTTCAGCAAAAACGAACACGTGCAAGTAGTTAGCCTAACTCAGCTGCACCCATCGAATTCAATTGACCACTCGTTCAGGATGAAGAATGATGCAGAAATTCCGCTTTCAATGCTTAGGAACATGCGAGACATCTTTTATGATATATTATAAAAGTAAAATAAAGCTTAACGACAATAAAATTGATGGCCCAATGAGAATTCCTAGGGAAATGACCGAAAAATTCGGACGGCGCAATTCTGGTCGGTCGCGTAGTGGGTGTGAGAGCGCAGAGAAGCGAGAGAGGCATGACATCGAGAGTGCGCCCCCCTCATCACTGTCGTCGCTCCCCCTGCTCCTCGAAATTGCATCCCTCTCTCTCGGTCTGGGTGACACCCGTCATTCTCTCTAGTTTCCTAGGTAGGTGTGGATTTCATTCCACGAATGCTTTCTTGCAGTTTCTTTTGTCAACGCTATCATCAATTTACACCACACGAAATACCAATGAATCGTTTTCTTTCCATGACTCAGTTGGGTGCTACCCAAATGGGTTACCTTTCTAAACTTCTCTATTCATATTGTTTCCTAATAAACTCGGCTTGTTTATGGTATTTTTGGAACCGTCGATCTCCTGTTTTGTTCCTCTGACAAAATTGATCCAACACGGAACCATAGGGCAAAGTTTTCTACTGGTCCAATAAAATACCATCGGGGCTCGATTTTTCTTCCAATGTCCATCTTTCTTGCACTTATTGCTGCAGAACTGTATACGTCACGTCTTGCTTTTGTATTCTGTACCCATACCTATCGAACTTTTCACTTGAGAGATTCATATATTCCGTTGGACAAATGATTGCAGGGTGTGCCCAGCGTTGTTATTGCTTTGCCTTGAAAACCCATTTCCGAAGAAGGCAGCTCCATTAATGAAATTTATTCTGGATAGGGTATGGAATGATGTTTCTGGGAGGCTCCCACACACACCCATCGACTACTGGTGGGAAATCGTGCAAGTCTAACTGCAAGACTCGTCATTAGCTATTGAAATCGAAATTGCAACCTCAAAACAATATTGGACCTCCCGACGTCTTTTTTTCATCCTATTTGGTGGGAGAAAAACGTTTTTTTTTTTTGCTTTATTGCGATTTCAGGATGGAGGATGGAGAAAGCAGGAGATAAAACGCTGAAATGCAACGGCCTCGGGGGCCAATTATCCTAAATATTTTGGAAAGTGTAAATAGTTTGTTAGCTCTAAATTGCACGTGAAAAGAATAGGAAGTGTTGCTTATAGTTTAAACTGCTGAATTTGCTTTCATATTGTGAAAGGTTTTATAGGAGATGAAGATAGATGACGAACGGATTAGTCACTTCTTGCTCGCCTTGAATGATTTGTGTTTTTGTGCTCGAATTGCTGCCAAGGAACAACTTTGAACGTTACAAACTGCTCATTTGAAAAAGTAGATAGGTGGCCTATCAACCATTGATCATGTGATTACTTACATTTTGATCTAAACTCTTGAGTTCAACCTAATTCTAAATCCTTGGTTGTGCCGAAGGCAGTTGATCCCGGCATTTCTTCATTGGTGGTATTGCTTTTGAAGAAAGATTGCTTCAGATGATTCGTTTTAAACTTTTGTAAGAGAGGCGCTGGACTTTTAAACATAGTTCCGATTGTGCAGTGTTTTAAAAGTCATATTACAGGTCAGGTATGGCTTCTGTCATTCGTCGAATACGGCGAACGAACAAGAAGGCCGCGAAATATCGATTTACTGCCACTTTGGAGGAACTTCTAATAGTTGGTTCTGAGAAATGGAAACCAAGTACAGTCACCGTCTCATTTATGCACAGGTGATTGCAGGCTTTTTTCGTCTTGTCGTCGATTATATGTTTTTAATTCATTTTAATTTGTTTGACAAACTTTTTCTTTCCACTAACCAGCTGCTGAAACTGATCACCTACTTATAGTTATGAATCAAAGGGTAAATATGTAAATGGTGCATTTTATTATGTTTGCTTTCTGCATTACGTAGCCGTGAAATTGTTGTTTCAACGGCCTCGAGAGATTTGCGGCTCTCCGACACTTGCCTCCTACGATGAGCAATTTTCGTGTTGACTAACACTCGAGACTAAATCTCATGAATACATCTTGGGCCCACAGTTGTACTCGTTTAAAAACTAACGTTACTGTACTCCAATGAAATTCGGAAAACGTTAGTCACCTCATTGGATACAGTCCTACTATATGGGTGTGCTACCTGATGAGATGAGCGTTTAGTGAATCTACCCCGTTTTCGGATTCTTTATGATGAATATGGTGTTAAAGAGGGGCAAATTCTCTGATAAAGTGCATAGATTAGTTTGGAAGCCCGAAGTAGATTCTTTACTAGAATGGAATTAGCCTAAATGTAGGGATGGGAGGCTTCCTAGAGTAAATTCATAATTTTAGGATGGTTTCTGCGATTGTTCATCGGTGCGTTGTTGTTCCTTATCCGTAACTACTATAGGTTCATGGCTTTGTGTTTTTTTTTATTTGTATAGGCCACCACATCATTTATCAAAGATATTTTCCGTTCCGTACTGTTGTTTTTCCATTATCTCGGTTACAATCTTGTCCATGTTTATGTATAGCTCTCATGAGAATATGGCGGAAAACTTTTGAAACTTCTTTGGTTAACTTCATTCCCAAAGCTGCATCGAACATAATTAAAAATCCATCGTTGCCCCTTACATAAATCTTTCAACTTCCTTCGTATGCAGAATGCGTCCAATTTTTGGTAGTACCTGTTTTAGGCGAAGGAAAATAAGTTCAAAGGAAAGAAAATGGGAAGAATCGTTTTCAAATCCAGACCAGACTGTAATTATGTGGCCAGAGCAGGCAGCCGAACATATTGATATCTTGACCACCCTTTACAAATCACAACATGAAGACCAATACGATGATAAGGTCGGTTGTTTTCTTAGCTTTCTCTATTCTTAATTGCTGTAGTCAATATGGATGTCGAATGGTTTCTTGCTTAGATCGTTAATTATTTGATTGAAAGAAATTCAGTCATGTTTGCTTTTGCAAATTCTATTTTTGTTGATTATTTCATTATTACTCGTGAACTTTTTCAGGAATGGACAATTGTTGTGGAAGAGGTGACCTCTAAAGGCAGACGGAGGCCTATAGCTGCCGTATCCCTCAACATTCGACTCTTTATTATGGATTTTCCCGAACAGAAGTCTGAGCTCAAATTGAAACTCCGACCGCTCACTCCTCAATTGAAGCAGTGCAATTTAGTATTGCTGCTTTCAAGTCAACTGCTCAAAGAGGGATTGTGAGTTTGAAACTTGAAGAATAGCTCTTTCATTTCTGATCGCTTTTTATTACTTGGAATTTCGAAGATTCATCTTCTTAGTGATGTTTTTACGCCCCGATAACGCCCTTTTTCTGTTTTATTCTCCATCTCAGTTTCATATTTCCTCGAGTAGTCTAAAAAATTATTCTCCAGCAAAGATGATGTCAGCCTTGCCTCCACGGTATCCCAAAATGGTCGTGATTCGAGAGAACAAAGTGTGTGTGATGCGCTCAATGCCTCAGAGGAACAGGTCGATCATGGTGAAGTTTTACTTCCCTGCATTCCTTTTGAAAAGCTGTTTTTCGTTTGTGTGCTCTCGATTCACCGTATCATGTTGTTTTTTTATTCTGCAGTGGTAGAATCTAATAATGCCAATCCTATCTATTCGTTCTGACTGCCTGTTTCTCCCACTCTCGCCTTGCCGTTGAGCGGCATGCTTATCGGCTTCCAGCGGCAATAAGTATAGATTTATTGCGTGTGATTTTCGCACCCGTCCGCTCGTTTAAGCAGAATTGTGCCCGGTTTGCTAAGTGGGTGGCTCGAGGATAGCATCCTGCAAAGGTTGGGAAAATTTGAGAAGTCTCTAAAGAAGGCGAGCTCTGAAGGTAGTTTTCTTACAGGTTTGTTTTTCCCAAATGATTGACTCGTGGTGAAGCGTGACTTGTTGCTGCCAGAAGATAAAACTAATAGTCTGCGTGCTACAGAAGAGAAATAGTTTGTTATCGTTATCAGGTGCGGTGATCCAATTGAACTACTGTGGGTCGTTCACAATCTTACAGTTCGGCCTAGTGCCGGCTGAAAGTTAATGTACCCATGACGATGAGGATGTTGTCGATTATCGAGCGCTTAAACTTTTGGATCATGTTGCTTTATGAAAACCTTAGAATCAGAAGATCTGGCCATCATATGGCCCGGAGATCGAATCCCTGGGGACGCCCAGGGTAACCAAATTTTCCCCGGGGGCGGTTAATTGGTTCCAGACTCGTCCGGCAGGGTAAACGTGTTCTTTTACATCGGTTGGCCACCGCAAGTCATCGTACGAGGCACATAGCTTCAAAACGCTCCTACGACCAGTAGAAGTCGAACGGAAGGGTGCAGTGTAGCCAAAGAACATCATTTTCCTGATATTTATTGAGAAAGTCTTAGGCTAGAGTTCAGAGTTGTTGATACTCGGACATTTAGCGCTGTGATTGGTAGGAATACTTGTACAGGAAACTAGAGAGACCTGTCTGTCATGAATACTTGAGAGTAGCGTCCAGTAAGTGCTAAATGTGCAATGAATTGAATTTAAGAAAAAGACTAGAGATTGGTGCTCAGAGTTTCGCCATTGTGCTGAGTCAACAATTAGTGAGTACATAACCACTGACGTGCTTCATGACCGTACGGGGAGCTATTACGCTCTTCTTTCGAAGTTTTTTACACCATCTGAGGGGGGATTCATAAGTTACAGTGAATATTGGGTCATGTGAAGAGTTGGGAAGAGGATTGGTTAGTGTGCATTGTCAACTACTTGGCATCTTTTTTTCATCTTTGAAGGCACTTTGTTTATGGGAATCTTTCTCTGAATTCTTTTAATATTAACATATCCCATCAATGAACTTACGCTTGCCTCGACTTGGTCTCGTACTATTCGTCATGCTTTCATCAACAAATGTTGCGTTAGAGAGTTTACTTCTAGTTCCCATGGGGTTTTTTTTCAGTTTTAGTTATGTACAGATACAGAAGGTTGTTCCCCATACACGCCAGAACTTGAAGTTGAGGTGTCATATGCAATGTGTCGCGTTGTGTGCGCGTATAATATGTTACAAGTGTTACACTTACCCCTCAGGTGTCGCGTATTTATCATGCGCCTGGAGCCTGACCGACATATGGCGACAATCTTCGGGTCATATCTTGGTTGAAACATGTGTGGAAAGAGGGTATGATAGCAGTAAGCAAGCTGTGAGCAACTGTAAAAATATGTCTTCTCGCTAAGCTTAAAAAATGTAACACTGCATATCGCAGTCTTTTGAATTCAATTGTATACTTCCTCTGTAATTCTTTTCCTTGATCTAAGCTGTAAGTTTAAACAAAAGTAATTTAATATTGCTTAGGAGATGCAAAAAAGGAACTGGCACTGGTTGCGAATACCATTCAAAGCCAGTCGTGGTCTTCGGATACGAAAAACGCTCAAAAGTCAGCACCTATCGCTTTGGAAGAGATGGAACAGTCCGACATTCGTAGTACCCCCGAAATACAATCACAGGCTGCTGCTGCAAAAACTGAGTCATTCACTGAAGAAGTGAAAACTGTGCAGGAACAACGGAAAGGTACGACTAGATCAAGGTTTTCCTGCTTTTACTTTTTTCCTTTGCCTTCTCTCACATGTTATCCGGTAGCATTTCAAGAGTCTGAGTCATCTGCTGGCCATATTTCCGCTGGAGGTGTTCGACCGCATTGGCGAGTGTCTAGTGAGGAGAAAACAACGAAAGAACAGGAGATTTCTGCTCCTAAACCTACGCTATCCTTCTTCGAAGTAAGTATTTTCTATGTTTTTCAAGAAGTCGTCATCTAGATTATGTTTAGGTCGGCGAAGATTCTCGGCCGGTACAAGTGACACCTCCACAGCTTCTCATTGCCCAGGCCGCGTCACCTAAGGCCAAAGGGTTAGCATTTGTACATTTTACATGGTTTTGTGTCGTTGTATTAAGCTATTTGTGTATTTCCATTGTAGTAAATCACATTCTCCACGGGCACCATCTCGCGAACGCGCTCCTGAGCGAGTGGAAGGAGAAGCCCTATTAGCCTGGGCGCAGCGGGTTACGAGCGGGTATCACGGAGTGAAAGTAAATGACTTTACGTGAGTTGTCTTATGCTTCTTCGAAGATGCGAGCAGTTGGCTTGATTGGGGCGTGCTTCCAGAAAGTCGTGGCGAAGTGGATTGGCTCTCAATGCGCTGCTGCACTCTTATAGACCTGATCTAGCGGGAGACTATGATGCTCTAGATTTCTCTGAGACAATGAATGGCAGAAAAGCGAATGTGAAAAAGGTTGGGCTCATTTGCATGTCTTCTACCTTTTCGTTTCATACTAATATTACCGGTCAAGAATTCCTTTGATTTTCCTTTTTTATGTTTTCGCTATCTCTTTGCTTTTACCTTTTCATTATTTGTCCTCAACTATGCTCACTTTTTTATATTCATACTTGTTTACCCTCGACTATGAGTATTTAGGCCTTAGTCGTGGCAAGAGCAATGGGAATCAATGATATTCCGGATGAAAACGATATTCTCACACCTGACAGCAAAATCATCAAGCTTCTTCTCGAGCGGTAATTTCTTCTCCTGATTTCGACAGCTATACATACTCAAACACACAGTCATAAAGAACAAGGCCTTTGATGCGCTGAAATTCCTCGTTAATCGTGATAGCCTCGGAGAACTTGGCCATACAGCTAGGGAAATAATACGAAATACTGTGAGGATACCCCTATTAATTACAAATCCACTGCTAGAGTGCTACCAGAATACTGAAATTCGCGAATAAGAGGGAAGGGAGAGACGAGAAATCATTTTTTCATGAGTTCTGCTAGATATTGTGCGAAAGCGCTTCGTACTTCAAACGATGTCGGTGAAAGTCCTCGAATTATATTTCACTGCTCCCCTCTGTTCCACTTTCATGGGTGTATGGGACATTGTTCCCGCCTTACTCAGTGAAAGTTAATTTTGTCGTGTAAGTATTGTGCTCTAGCCTTCGTCGCGTGCTGGAGGGCACTACTGACCTGCCAACACCCATATCGTCTTCAGATCATAGAATATCGCAGCTCTACCATATATCAGAAGCGGAGAAAAAGGTATGTCCTAGTATTCGTGGCTGTACACGACTCTTTGGAAGGGCTGCATTTCCAGGTGATTGAAGAAATCAATAAGATCAAAGAGCAGCGAGAAGCCGATTCTGCCGTTGATTATAGCAACGTAAAGGTATATCGTCTACTATTATAAACAACACCTTTTTCGCATAAGCTACTGAAAAGGTTTACCAATCATTCAGGATCACGTCGAAGGCGCTCAATATGGAGGACGTGGTAGACAGGTATGGGTACATTGCTGTCCGAAAGAAAAATGAATTTCTATTTATTTTCCAGGTTGATTCATTGACAGCCGATCACAACGGTGAGCAGTGGTCCGACGACCAGGGTGATGCTCTAGAAAGAGATGTGTGAGTTGCTCTAATTCAGTTTCTCGGTGTCGGACGTGTTGTGGTCCAATAACACATGGCGAAATACTCAGAATGATTAAGACCATTTTTAGTTCATTCCGCGACCACGACGTATCTGTTACTATGGTCACTCCGACACTACCAACATTCCGTTCTTCGGTTTGTTCTACTTGGTTTTTTAGATCATTAGTTTATGAGCTCTTTTGGAAGGACCGATTTTCCCTTTATTGGTGAATTCCGTTGCAGGGGCGATCAACCAGTCCTACAAAGAAGGAGGAATTACGAAAGAAAGCTCGTCAAATGCTAGAAAACCCATCTGCTGCTGTTTTAACTACGGGAACTGTAATTTCTTTGAAAACCTTATTTTACCCATTTGCTGTTCACGCTATCCCCCATTCGCTCGTGTTTTAGCATATTTGTTTTGTCATTTTTTTCAGTCGCAAGACGATGAAAAACGTAGACAAGAAGCGCGGCGACTTATTGAAGAGGCAGTGACGGACGGTACTACCTACGTGCTGGGATCCGGTAAATGTTTCTAAAATCATCTGCTCTTAAGCTAATTGATGAACTTATCAAGAGTGGCTTGATGTGATGCTTTTGTCATCATCTTGTTGCTGCTTTATCAATTTCTAATTCTTGTGGTTGTGTCGTGATCTAGTTTTCTTGTTCGATTAGCGGAAGCGTCTACGTCATCGTCAAATCTACAACGGTCCTACCATCGGTCCCATACGTCAATTAATGGATCGAACTCGGATTTGAGGAAAATTGGTTAGAAATTTTTGTAACC